GGAAAGAAAACAATTCCAAGATATACATTAAAATGTTTCATTTTATGAGACTTCATCTATTTGCGTCTGTAGATTTCAATTAAAATACGTATTGCTTTATCAAAATGAGTTGTATCTCCACTTCAGCAGAACGTGCATTCAACAATTTTTACAGTTTTACTCCTAACTATATTCTGAAGGTTTTTACCGAGGGGTTTGTTTATATAACATTCACATGCTTTTGTATAGCATTTTAATCCTAAAGTGGTGAAAATTTACTGTTCTGATTTATGGAGAGATAAAAACAGATATCCAAAATCCCTTCTGTAAAAACTTTTAACTCAAGTATGTCAACAAAATGAAACAAGAATTTTGAACCGGTCTTGAAATATATGCAAATGAGTGCGTTTTCTAATTTGAAAACGCCTTAATAACTTGTAAAATACTTGTAATACAAAACAACTGTTTTAGTGTATGGTGATTAATTTGTCTTCTTTCAAACTGGCAGAAAGAAAACATCCAAAATACACATTTAGGTGTTTTATTTTATTACACTTCACCTATTTTGCGTCTGTAGATTTCAATTACAATACAAATTGCTTTGTCAAAATGAGTTTGTATCTCCACTTCAGCACAACCTACATACAACAAATTTTACAGTTTTACTCCTAACTATATTCTGAAGGTTTTTACCGAGGGCTTTGTTAATATAACATTCACATTCACATGATTTTATACAACATTTTATTTCTAAAATATGGTGAAAATGTACTTTTCTGATTTATGGAGAGATGAAAACAAATATCCCAAATCCCTTCTGTAAAAACCTTTAGTATGTCAACAAAATGAAACAAGAATTTGAACCTGGTTTTAACCAGTATCTAGAAAAGTATGCAAATGAGTGCATTTTTAATTAGAAAATGCTTTAATAACTTGTAAAATACTTGTAATACAAAACAATTGTTTTAGTGTGTGGTGATTAATTTGTCTTCTGTCAAAGTAGTGGAAAGAAAACATCCAAAATACACATTTTTTTTTTACACTTCACCTATTTGCGTCTGTAGATTTCAATTACAATACAAATTGCTTTGTCAAAATGAGTTTGTATCTCCACTTCAGCAGAACGTGCATTCAACAATTTTTACTGTTTTACTCCTAACTATATTCTGAAGGTTTTTACCGAGGGGTTTGTTTATATAACATTCACATGATATTATACAACATTTTATTCCTAAAATATTGTGAAAATGTACTTTTTTTTCTGATTTATGGAGAGATAAAACCAGATATCCAAAATCTCCTTTGTAAAAATCTTTAGTATGTCAACAAAATGAAACAATTTTGAACCCGGTTTTATCCCGTATCTAGAAAAGGATGCAAATTAATGCATTTTTAATTAGAAAATAAAATACCTTAATAATGTGTAAAATACTTGTAATACAAAACAATTGTTTTAATGTATGGTGTTTAATCAACTGGGGAAGTATGGAAATATATATTAGTTTAACATTTGACCTTATTTACCTAGTGTTTGCCTTAATTATGGGATGTTTTCACAAGTATAGATGTACAATTCTGTGTTAAACTGATCATTAACATATCTATGCAACAGAGCAATGTAAGTGACAAATAATATTTACTTTTGTTTTACCAAAAATGTACAAACTACACAAGAGAATTTACAAATCAGGTGTTTATTAAATAAAAAAAAGAATACAAGTAACACTTCCACTGTCCATACCACATCTATTGATTGACAAATCAAATATGAAAAAGCAGTACTACAAAAACATGTCAAATAAAAAAATAACACAATAAAGGAACATGAGTTCATATTACAAGCACTTTGGATATGTACAAGCGTTTTTGTCTAAAGGCAAAAAGGCAGAGCTGAAGACTGCTAAAAGATAATAAATGCATGTGCAAAAATACTTATCTCATCCACAAGCTCGGCTTCTCGATATTCCACGACTAAATATTACGCAATGATTTACTTTGCACAGTAGGTTAACTTTGGGTTTGAATCCGAAGCTTGTGGAATTCAGGCATTTTATCTCTCCAACAGATTACATTGACCAAAAGTATTTGAAGCGGACGAACGCCATTCTGATTGGCCATTGCGATAATTAGTCGACCAATCAGAATGCTGGAATCCACTTCATGTTGTTGAACTTTCACATGACAACTCAACACAGTTACATACAGAGGTACGAGGACAGGCAAAGACCAGACTCCACACGGCACACGCATAAAGAGACAGTCCATGTTCAAGACACCGAATGGAAATTAGTAGTTGTTGAAAACCCTTTCTTTTAATATCGAAATGAATCGTTCGGAAAATTCGGTACTTCCCATTCCCATTCCAGACTGCTCCGTAAATACTGAAAATAATTTCCCATACATACAAAAACACAAACAAAACAAAATGTAACAGCTGACACTCTTTGGCAGTGACACTTTTTTTTTTTTTGCCCCTCCTTTTTTCCTTTCAATACATATCCATATAAAATTTTAACCTGGACTCCGAGATAGTTGCCATTTATTTTGTTCTTTTAACTCAAAACGCTTATTTGAAGGTTTCTGTAAGTTTTTGTGCATTTGCCATAATGCAAGCTTAAAACACGGACAGTAAGTGTAACAACAGTACATATATTTTAATTAGTTTGAAATGAAAATTCAGCATGGGTTTTTCTCTTTATATGCTCAAAATCTATAGGGGGGCTTTTCTAGAAGGTCTCTAAGCTTTGATGGACATGCTGACCCTCGAAATCATTTATGATTTTCAGATCCAATGAGGAATGATCAAAGCCTCAATAAGACTGCAAAACCCTCTAAACACAGTCACTAACTGAAATATTAAAAGTATTTCAGACGTTATGACATCCACAGTATGCGTCTTCCTACGAGCCTTACAATTTCGATCACAACGATATTAATAAAATGCAATTTAAACAACTACATAAAACATAGTAAGAACTTATCTGCTATAGATAAATTATTCATGTGTGGATATTTCTTCAATAGTGCGGTACTGATAACCAACATTAACTCATTAACTCAAGAATATGGGCATAAAAAGGAGAGATGCATTTAATGTACACACAAAAAAAGACACTCACACTTCAAAACTATTGCTAAACATCTCTGTAAAAAGCAGGAACAAATAAAAATCTAATTGACCCATCGTGACTTTAATACTTTGTTGTTCTTAATACTTTTAACCACAGAAAAAATAATGCAGTCATTCCAGAAAACGTGACTTAAATTAGAAAGATTTTGGGTGAGTCTCACATCGAGGTCATATATTACCTCAGAAATCAAAAGAAACTAGGGATGCACCGATATGCCGATATCCGATATTTTTCAACAAATTTTGGCCGATACCGATATATTTCCTTTTGTTTGGAAACAAGACCTTCTGACCTTTAAATCAAAACATATTCATTATTTTATGACATCAATTACTGCTTTATTTAATCAGAAACACAGTCTAAATTTTATTTGTGTAGGCTATTTTACTTTTAATTTAACTAGAAGTAGGCCAACAGTGCCCCCTACAGATTAAAACTCCTTACAAAGCGGGCATTAGGACCCGGGGGAGGCTGCCGCTGCTGCACGTACTATTACTGTTTACTCTATCACACACCGAACGCAGCATCATTCTGTTCGTGCTTTCACAGATTAAATGCAGCGATCCAAACAGTCAATCTAATCATCATTCAGACAAAACTTTGCTTCAAGAATGAGCCACACTGCTGACATTAACGCATTCCTCTTATTGGCAAGACATATCGGCATAATTTTTCATATCCGCCAATTCCGATATTTACATTTAAAGCCATTATCGGCCGATTCCGATATCAGTCCGATAATATCGTGCATCCCTAAAAGAAACAATAATTATATTTAAATTATTTTAGTAAAAATTACTGTAATGCAAATATTTGTATTAGAAATCAGCAAAAATGAACTAAATTGCAACAAATATTTCAACATGACTGTAATAAATATTTAGGCCAATCATGTCACAAAGCAAAGTCCAAAATGTTCCTAAATTTGGGTGGGTTTTCTTGAAACAAAATATTTTTCCATATTTCTTTCTTCTGATTTTGTGGTGAAATATGACATGTTCGTGACGGGTTTTGTGAGATTCACTCTTTCAGTCTGAAAGTGAATTCATAATAATATTAGGAGTTCAACAGATTAATTATGTAACAATCACTGTATATTAATAATTCATCAGCATTTCAAGCTGCAATGGGTGGAAAAACGCCGAATCTTGTGCCGTGAATAATGTATAGTTAACACCACGGACTAATTAAACCAGCGAGCATTACTGTCCACAAACACACACTCGCACAAACCAACACACACTACACACTGGCTTCACTCTTACTGTGGCACAACAACATCTTATAGATAGTTTTTTTTTGTTGCTTATTTATATTATTATTATTTGAAAACCACATTTTAGTGACGCTTTGTTAGTTGCATCACCTACCACTCACAAGATTATCTCACAAAAGTTCTAGACAAATAAAACCACATTACTTTTGCGAAAGCTGCCATTAGCAGTAATGTAACAAGCTCCAGCTAGAAAATAAAGGGATGTTGTGGCTCGAGATTTACTGATCTCAGATCAGTTCTGACGTTTTGTTCACAGCTGCACTGCAAAAAATGATTCTTTCAGTATTTTTGTCCCATTTTGTATTTTCTAGTATTTTTAAATCGCTAAACATTCTTAAATCAAGATGAAGCAAAATGACTTAAGATATTAAGTCTTGTTTTCTTGAAAATGATTTCATGCTTCAAACAAGGGGAAAAAAAAACATCTGTGGGAAAACTAGTTTATAATTTTGATCATTTTTCGATCAGAAAAATACTTTATTTCTTAAGTCACTTTGCTTCTCAAGTAAATGTGTTTTGATTTAAATATGCTTACATATTTGTACTGAAAAAGACAAACAAAATAAGACAAAAAGAGTAAGAAAATGATATTTTCGCAGTGTGTAAAGGTAGTGTTTGTGAATCATGTTTTAATAGGGCATTCCGTATGAGGAGCTGTTGTGCTTTGGATGAAGATATGAAGAAATGAAGGCGAGTTTAATAAGTGCATAGCATTTGACAACTGATGAAGATGAAACCCTTGAAGTTCTCTCCAAACCAGTTTCCAGCTGTGAAGATGCACACAAAAAACTATATGTAAAACTACGTCTTCCCTAATTCTGCTGGCTTAATCGGTGGCATTTTCACCTCCAACCTCGTCCAGCCTTTACGTCAGGCCTTGTGCTGCTTGATAGGACACAGTTCTCTTATAAATCGACTTCGCCTTGAAATCATTGCCGTTGCCCATGTTATAAAGGTGACTGACTCTTTCTGTCCCGTAATGTTTACATTCTGATTGGCCAGAGATCTTTGGAGATGGTTTATGAAAAGAAGTAAAACCTGTAGATGAGCTGCATATTTAAGCTAAAAGGTCACTTTTAAAAATAAACGATAACTGACATAAAAGCGTGTGTAAAAATAAATATAAAACTAAACTGAATTCGTTTATTCTAGTTAACAGAGATTAACCAATGCGAACTACTAACCTTCCGTATACGTCTAGGGGAACGCAAGAGGCGAAATGATTCGTGCACAAGTACACAGTGCACTACTGAGCTAACGTTAAATGTTAACTTTGCCAGTGCATTATGGGTGATGTAGTTTTAAGACATGCAAGTTAGAGGTCAACGACGCATTTTCAGATTTCGTCGACTGGAAGGATATGAACTATGCAAACGAAGATTTTTAGGAAATCTCATCAGTTGGCTAATGGGCACCTTGTAGCCCCGCCTCCGATGTAAAATTGGCATTTAACTCCACCCTCTTAATAAAGGCAGGAACTTTGCTAATTTTCGGAATATTCATTGGTGCTTTTTTCATGTTTGAATCTCGGTTTACAAAAAACTACCATGGTAACCACAGTTTCCGCCAAATTCCATAGTTGCTAAGCAACAGAAAGACTCCGAAAGCTGATTTTACTGTTAAGTTTATCTCCAAATACAGTTACCATGGTAGATTTTAGCAAGGCTTAAACTGCATTTATCGATTATGCTGGTTATAGACGCCAAAGAGATCAGTTACATCAAGGGATATATTCAAGGGTTGTCGAGTGTGATTTAAGCGGTGCCATGCTGTTAAATAGTCATCAACAGGTGGTGTATCCAAATTTTGTGCTTGGCCCCCATATGTGGCTCTGGGGCCTTTAATAAATAAAAGTGACTAGCGCTGATAAAAGTCAATCGAAGCCGCCGAATCGAACGTCTTCACCTCCACCAACCCACCCACCAGAGACGGTCACATGAGAATCCCATCTCAACTGTGATTGGCCAGCGTTCTGAGAGTGGCGGCGGCGGTGTGCAATGGGGTGTAGGCTGCAGGTTGAAGAGGCGGGGCTGAGAAAGTGGGCCGTCCTAGGAGGGTGGTTTGCTGTAGCCGAACAGTCCCACCGGGAGATACTTGACGTGAGTCGGCCACTGAGCGGCTAGCTGGAAGAACTTCACGTCGTTCCACTCGCATCCGTCGATGGTGACTGAGAAAGGAGGAAGAGGAATGTTGTTTTCTGCTTTAGCTGACAAGAAAGCGGTTTTCTGGCTGTAATGAAGGTCTGGTACCTTTCAGGATGGTCTGCTGCTGTTTGGCGGAGCAGATGAGCCGGCTGATGCCCTCGATCACCTGACTCTTAGAGTCCATCTCCCGCTCTTTAGGTTTCTTCCCCAGGAAAATAGTGGGAACTGCACAAAGAAAGCGAGAGGGAGACATATTGTAATATTATACTCGTATATGAAGTGTTGGAATTGGTTTTTCTTTGAATAAATTATTTGATTTACACTACCGTTCAAAATTTTGGTCAGTACGTTTTTTTTTTTTTTTTAAGGAAATTACTACTTTTATTCAGCAAGGATGCATTAAATTGATCAAAAGTGACAGTAAAGACATTTATAATGTTTCAGAAGATTTCTATTTTGAATAAATGCTGTTCTTTTGAACTTTCTATTCATCCAAGAATCCTGAAAAATGAAATGAATCACGGTTTCCACAAAAAATATTTTGGAAAGATAACGGTTTTCAACATTGATAATAATCAGAAATGTTTCTCGAGCAGCAAATCAGCATATTAGAACGATTTCTGAAGGATCATGTGACACTGAAGACTGGAGTAATGATGCTGAAAATACAACTTTGATCACAGGAATAAATTACATTTTAAAATATATTACAATAGAAAACAGTTATTTTAAATTGTAATAATATTTAACAATTTTATTGTTTTTGATCAAATAAATGGTGAGCATTATCTCAAAAATATTGAACTTTTTGTTCATATAAACATTTTATTTTTACTTTTATATTTGAAATTTAAGTCACTTTTTATTATTTTTTAAATGAAAAAAAAGATACATAATTTATACACATATGTGCATTATATATATATATATTGTATGTGTACTAATTAATTTGTATATTCGTTGTTTTATTTACTTTTTTTCCCTCTTGTAATTTAGTTTTTTTTAAAAATATTTTCTATTCTACTCTTGGCTCAAGTATGCTTGATACATTCTATATATTTATATTATGTTCAGTACTGTATTTGTGTAACTAAGTGTATTTAAAAAATGTTTTGCCTTGCAATTTAATTTCATTTGCCATTTACTATCTGTGCTGTATGATGAATAAAAAATACTGCCCTGTACATTAAACAATTTCTACTACACTGAATTAGTTTGTCCAAAGCAAACCTGGATCTTCTGGATGCTGTGAATGTCCACTGTATCATTTTGCATGATTCTTGGCTTCATGACGGTCTGCTCACCTTTCTTGTTCTTCTCTTTGGTGACCACGGTCATGGCCATAGTGTTGACGGGCGCCTGCGGCTCGCTGGCTCCTCCTCCTGGCAGCCGGCTGACCTGCAGCGACCAGAAGGCACTCTTCAGAGTGTTCTTACAGCTGGTGTCTTTCCTCTCGCCCTCGCGACGCTTCTCCGCCAGAGACGCCAGCCAGTAATCCACCTGCAGACCGATGGCGTCCCCGCCGTGAGACATGCTGGGACTCCTGAGACAGACACATCACACACACATCACATCACAGCAGCCAGACACTTATGCAGTTTTCTTCTGCATTGCTACCGCTCGGATTGTTCAATTGCCTATTGAATTTGTATATAAAAATGTAGGAATATGCAGTTTTGAGCCATTTTATTCTTCCTAAAAGGTTGAACATATATATTACTAAACCTAAAACTGAAATAAATATGAAGCTATTTGTAGAAATTCTATTTATAGAAATAATATTTCTATAAATAGAAATATTTAAAAAGACAAAAATCACACAAAATGACAAAAACTATAAACTGAAATTGAACATAATACAATAATACAAATAAAAGCCTATTCGAAATAATTCTATTATATTATATAGATACTGTAATACTAAAATAACACTGACAAAATACATGGCATGAAAAACAGTATCCCATAATGCAACATGCTCAACTTCTATTTTCACTGTGATAAATTAACATTTAACACAGAACGTCAAATTAAAAATTAAAAATAAAACGTTTTTTCCAAGGATGTCACTCACTGAATTAAATAATGAAGATAATGTTGTATATTATTAATAATCAATAAAAATTCAATAAATCAAAATCACATTAGAAGCTGGAATATAATTATAGTAATGATATATCAGCCCGCCGAGTGAGCCGTGAGAGGGCGGAGACGTGGAGGGGACGGCTAAACTCACAGCCACGCCCTCTTCAGAGTCACCTGGGAAACAGACACATGGTGAGCTTCTGTGCAAGAGTTATTAAAAGCCATCAGTGCTTCAGTCTCCATGGAAACACACACCTGCTGATGATTGGCCAGGCTCAATCAAACCCACTTTCACCACCTGTGAGATGCCGACAACAGATCACAACAAACAAATATTATAAAAAAAATTATTTCATTTGATCGATTACAATACGTGATATATTATATAATGCTTTGAGTGACACTTATGCTGTTTGCAATAAATATATAAGGCAAAAACTCTGATATAAAGAGAGAGAGGAAAAAATTTAAATGATAAAACAGAGAGTTCCGGTCCTTGATTCTGATTGGCTGAGCCACGTTCGAAGCTGTTGTAAATTACTCTACAAACATACACCTTTGTTTACGTTTGTCTGTTGCTTGGCAACCACTTTGTTGGAACCACAACTGATTCTGAGGAACTACATTGTTTGGTGGAAGAATACTGTTTTTATTAATATCATTACACTTTATTTGCTCTCTTTTATTCTGTGAAACCTTACTACGTACATGGAATAACCGTTTTATAAAAGCAATAAGCCCCGTGAAGCCGTGAATTTATAACAGCTAAGGGGGTTTTAG